CTACTAAAAAGGTCTGAGATAGTTCACAGCAACCCTGATTACAATCAAATTGATTGTAAATATAGAAAATACGCCGAGTAGAAATAGCACATTGGAGTCTGCCATGCTTAACATTTCTAATGTACTAGTAACAATGTCACATTCTAAACAGTGCCTACATATTAAAGACAACGTTCAGTCATTTACTGCCAGGTCAGTGAACTATAGACATGGAGCTCTGTACACATGCAGTAGTGGGGGAATATGTCTACATATAGTTTACATTAAAACATATTTCAAATTATATTCATTTTCTCTAAAATGACGAGTGGTAAGTCAGCATAAACTTATACAAAATGCAAAGTACACACATTCATTTACATTTTAGGTGTATTTGAATTTTAGTTTTCTGTCACTATCAAAATAAGTCTTGGAAGTTTGTTGGAGCTTAACGCCGTGACTAGACAGGAAATTACTTACAGATCTACATATTCATGAACTTATCACTTTGCCCATACGTGTATACAAATTGGTGTTCTTTGGTGGAAAGTCAGTTGATGAGAATGTTTGAGAGGGGGCTGTGAAGGTTAAGTAGTGAATGACTTGTTTGTTTGTTCATGGTATTCTAGTGCTTGGCAATGCCTTTAACAGTGCATTTTTTATTCTGTATTTAGCAAACACCACATTTTAAATATGAATCCAGCAAGTGTCGTTGTTTTGTTCGTATTCAACATCTATAATGCTATTTTTATTTCATTCATTCTTAGTAACATTTCTCCATGTGTTTTACTCTGGTGTGCAAGATACAAATATGTAGAATTAGAAATATCCCAATTTGTTATTTGTGCCACAAGTAGTTGGCATATGATGCTATAAAAACCGATAAGCCATTCAATTCACATAAAGTATACAGCCAGTAGCAATCTCTGCATACGAACATTTGGAATTAAATCTGCATTGGTTTCATCAGGTTTATTTGCTTTCCATTATGGCATTTACGATTGCAAATTTACACTTAATTATACATACGATGCTAGAATAGTTCAAAAACGGTACAGTGAGTGGGAGTAAGTGAATTGTGTTACTATCCTATCTTGGGGGGGGGGTGTTAAGACCATTCAATAATTTGGATATCTCTGTGACCAGTGGCTGTTCTTAACATTACACTAGACTGATACAGAGACCGATGTTTACATAACTTGAATGTTATCGTGGCATAAGTGTATGTAGCCAGAGTACAAAGATGATATGATATTTACTGAATTACGTGACAGACTGAACATTCCCTTTTTGTTTTAGAAGGTCATCATCTGTCATTTCACGCATGTAAATCGGCGTAATTAGAAAGTAGCGTGACTAATATGAACATAAATTAAGTGAATACGATTTGACCAGTGTCTTGTACAACCAGATGGCTCGGCAGAGAGTGAGTTATGTTGGGGTTAGAAAGAAAAATCACGTCTAAAAAATAAATTACAAAACAATTGATAAAAGTCACACGTATATTTGAACTATGGTGTAAATACTTGTTTTTTATTATATAAATGACGTCATACCTAATACTTTCTCAAACCCGTCACTTTAGTTTAGACGTAGGGATTATGCGGTTGAAATGTTTGAGAGATTTGAGAGGTTTGAGAGGTAGCCTAATGCGTTCTATTTCAAGAATGACACATTTATGTTTCCGTGTTCATACACCGTAAAATATACTTAATTGAAAAGAGCATGATATAAAATGTTGAAAGAGACCGAGTAATGTCACGTGGGTAACATATAATTACGTGATTCGTGTATGCATATACCTAAGGCAGTATTTTAAATTATAGGCAAACTTCATATTAAGCTACAAATTCTCAAAGTAAATTACGTAAACCACATATACAGATGTTAAAGTTTGCGTGTTTATTGTTACATTATTAATACTTATTAAGTTGCAAGATAGATAATATATTTGAACATGTTTAAATAATTGCGTTTGATATAGCATTAATAATAATAATATGATACAATATTCTGTGAAATAATTCAATTCAAATTACATATACGTATATGTAAATCTAGGCACATGCGCGTTCGCGCTTTAGACTGTTTCATTGATCGAATTCTGCTGTGTTCGCTACCATGGCAACGTGTTTGTTTGATAATAAATCATAATAAATATCATGCAGATGGTCTTGAACGACTATTGATTCTTCAGTATAAACTGGTGTAAATTATATTCGTCAGAAATTATTATTTTCATTGCTTAGCGGATCGAACCCATTGGCTAAGCAGTTATAGTCAAGGTTTAAAGGTCAAAGAGCAGAGCAAAGGGCGACAAATCATTAAAAAAAAATTCAAAATCAAAATGAAAAAAAAAATATTTTCAAAACTGAGGACTGAGAAAATACAATTTTAAAGTGGCAATAGTTGTAAATTTGATATTTTTGTTTAGTTATAGCCACATAAAAATGACCGATTATTACCGAAATATTGTCAATATCTCATAAAATGCGATGTGAAAACTTGTTTAAA